TCTTTTTTTTATTTTTTTTTTTTCTGAGTTGGAGTCTCACTCTGTCACCCAGACTGGAGTGAAGTGGCCGCTCCCGGCCACTGCAGCCTCGCCTGCTGGGCTCCGGCGATCCTTCCGCCTCAGCCTTCCAAGTAGCCGGAATTACAGGCGCATGCTACCACGCCCAGCTGATTTTTTGATTTATTGTAGAGATGAGGTCTCACTGCCCAGGCGGGTCTCGAACCCGCGGGCTCAGGCAATCCACTCACCTCAGCCTCCCAAAGGCGCGGGATTACAGGCTGAGCCACCGAGCCCGGCTATGAACTACTCTTGTGCCAGGAAGAGTGAGCTCTACGTTCTCTCATAAAACTCATCCATAAAAGATGGACCGATTTTGAATCTCTGAAACCGTATGTTGGTCTCTGATTGACAATTCTGGACCAAGTCCATGAAATCATCTAATTCATGTTGCTGGGTCACGAGGGTTGTCCTTGCTGTCATTTGATGATGCATCAGGTATACTAATGGCAAGGCTGGGCTGCCCCCAGGCTCCAAGGCTGTCAGAGGTCTCATGCGCATGCATGTACACACACACACACACACACACACACACACACACACACACACACACACACACACACACACACGTCTAAGCCCCCATAAAGTAGCTTGGAACCTTGCCTAGCAAAACAGGCCACCAAGACATAGGGCTTGCTATCATGATGGCAAGTCGTGATCGTGGAGAAGAGAGAATTCTTAGAGTGGGAGGGAGGAGTAGAAGGAAAAAGGTCTGTTACCAAGAAACCTAAGCTTCAAGACGACATTCCATGCTGTCAAAATGAGATTGAGTCCGAAAGTTTCCTGTGAACGACAAGGTGCTGGCAAGGAGGGGCTAGTGGTGGAGGCTCCTGTTGCGTCATGGAACTAAGTGACCCCCACGGGGCTCTCGTGGTGGTGGGGGGGACGCGAAGGAGCCTTGCCTTCTCAGACACCGGCTGTGACACTCAAGGGAGGCGACAAGGAGCATCTTAGTAACGCTCCATTCTTACTGCCCTCTGAACGCCATGATGGCGCCAGCTCCTACACAGGTGGCTTCTTGCTTTTATAGCTGGGAAATATGTCTTAACTAAGCCGCAGTTCAACATCCTCAGAGAGGGAGTAGGTAAGCCCCAGTTCTAGAGACACTGCGGCAAGGACATGGCAGGAATGAAATTTGGCCAAAGGAGATGGAACTCTACAGTCCTCTTGCTTCGGGCCTATTTCCTCCAGACTCAAAAGCGGATTGGGCCCGCTCAGAACCACGCCTACTCTAGGAGAGAGAGCACAACACGCTTCCAAGGAGCAGCTAAATTATTTATAAAATCTGTAGTATCTGGAACATAACCACCCCACTGACAGGAGGTTGACTTTGGGCTTAATATTCTGTCATTCTGTCCTTCTCACATCATGGCATGATAAGCACCAGGTGATTCCAATTCTGACTTCAAAGTGAGAGATTCTTCGAGATCATCCATGTCCTCTCATTCTCTCTCCCCCACTTTTTGCCCTTCTCATCCCCACTAAGAAATGGAACTTGAACCTGCCCTTCTCTAAGGTCTATTCAGTGTCTCTGACCCAAAGGACAGGACTGTGAAAGTGCCTCTAGCACACAAGGGGGACCCCCAAAAAACCCAGAACTATCTTTTGGAGGGCAAGCCTCTTGTAGTACACGAGGAATTTGTTCCTCCAGATCCAGTGGTCAACCAAAATTTTTATCTGAAAGTTCTGAGAAGGTTGCGTCATGATTTGCAGAAGAAGCATCCCAAGTTGTGGCAAACAGGTGCCTGGTTTTTCTACCATGACAACACACCCGCCCACACCACACAGCAGTTTTTGGCCAAAAACGGCATGACCCCCATGTCCCACCTTCCCTATTCACCTGATCTCGCTCCAAGTGACTTTTTTTGTTTCCCTAGATGAAAAAATTCCTCAAAGGGAAACATTTTGCTGATGTGGAAAGGGTGGAGAGAAAAAAAAAAAAAAAACAGCAGAAGCCCTAAAAGGTATCAAAACCAATGAGTTCAAAAACTGCTTTGAGCAGTAAAAAAAAGTGCCTTGATAGGTGTATTGCATCAAACGGAGAGTAATTTGGAAGCGATTGAAGTTTAAACATATAAGAATAAGTGCACAGTTTTTTATAAATAAATTCTGGGGTTATTTTTGGTACCCCTCCCTCATATTACAACATATATCTCATTTTCTTTTTCTCTCTCCAACCCTTCCTGCCTCAATTTTTCCCTCTGAGTTGTGAGGTGAGGTCAAGCTAAAGGTTTTTTTCATGGCAGAAGGAAATCAGAGGGAGACAACCCCTCCCCTGAGGAAAGAAATTGAGTTTCCAAAGCAAAAGCTAACAGAGAGTGCACATTCTGGTCTGAAAGTATGGAGAAGGAGCAGAATTCCCAGGACACATAGGCACCCCCCAGGAAAGCCCTGGATGGAAGCATCCAACCAGTGGCAACCCTCCATCCATCACTTGGTTTGTGGTCCAGAATCCAGACTCCCTCATGATCTCACACGGATGGATGCAGCAAGCAGCTCAGAGTTCCTGCCTCTTGGTCTGAGAGCATATCCCATCCACAGATCACACTGGGGTGTGGCCGTGGTCCCAGGGCAAGGGGGCACGCCAGAGGGTCCCTGAGGTCTGGGGTGTTTGCAGGTTGGGCTCCAGAGAACACTGTGAGGTGTTTCACGTGTCCAGAGAGCCAAAGTAGGTAGCGTCCGAAGCCAGGTCCTTCCCTGGACGTGCCTGGGAGCTCCCGGGACCTCAGGCATGGGCCTCAGTCTCCTTCTTGATGGCCGGCTTGTAAATGACTCCCTTGTTGTTGTTGTTGTTGCCTTTTCTGCTACAAGAACAACAAGCACACACAAATCCTGTTAGTCAAAGAGGAGCGAGAGCCAGAGCGCAGGATGACTCAACTACGTGATGAGACAAGGCTTAGAAGTCACACCCCTCTCTTGGGGACCTGTCCCTCGTTCTGATGGTCTTGGGAGGGAATGTCCCCCAAATAAAGCATTAACCGGAGCAGAACCTGTGCATTTTCCAACTGTTCTCTTTAACACCCCACACCATGAGATCTGCATTTTTTTTTCCTCCTTTTCAATTGATGCCTTTGGTATAGAAATAGATGCGTATTTTGAAGGACATCTTGTTATCAACCCACTTCCAACTTTTGATTCCACAACAGGGTTCCCGGCAATCTTTTTATTTTTCATACCAGGAAAAATAAACTAGGCTTTAAGAAAAACCAAACATGACAATAAAAACGTGGTCAAGGAGCATTAACAGGTAACTATGGAGTGAGCTGAGAGTGAGTTGTTATGTCAGGGAGAGATCAGGTTTTTGTTGATTTTTCTTTCTGGACTCATAGAAGAAACACCAGATGTAAAGATCTTAGCAAGGAGATGGCCTTGCTGCCTGTGTTTAGGTGCAAGCCCCAAATCAAGAGGCTGGTCCAAGGTCACAGAGCAGCAGCAAGCAGGCACACAAGGCTGGCGCACCCCACTCCAAATCCGAGTGCAGCGACCCTCGCGCAACCAGTGTCTCCTGCAAGGGAGTCAGGGCACAGGTGTCTAGGGGACAGCACTCTCAGGACGAGTGCTAATCCGGGTGACAGGGTTCTTCATTCCACAGGCCTGCCTTTCCAGACAGTCCCATGGTCATGGACACACAAGCCATCCATTCCCATTCTGAACTCAAACCAGCTCACCTCTTCTTCCTTCTGAAAAGCCAAATGGACACCGCCAGGACAACACAGATGCCAAGAACACCAGCCAGGGCCACCGAAAGGATGATGCCTGGTGGAGAGGCAATGGCACACGTTACATTTCTCCCTTCCCCTCCGTCTCATCCCATGGTCCTGGGTGTGAAATCACGCCCCAGCTCATAATCATCCACAGAAGAGTCTCATTCCCCCATCTCTGGTCTCAGATTCTGGTCTGCGGCTTAGCAGGACTGGCTGGGATACTTGGAGGAGGCCATTTGCAAATTGTAGTGGTTTTCCAGTAAGGGCTCTCAAACTCGCAGAAGTATCATCTGAAGAGCTTGTTCAAAATGTAAATGTTTTTTGAGTCCAACTGTCAGAGACTCCGGTCAGTCTGTTTGGCACAGGGTCCAGCAATCTGCACTTCACCAACACTTCCCGCCAAAGCAGATGCAGGTGGCCCACGAGTCTCACTTTGATAAACCCTGGGCTTCAGAATAAGCACTGACCCCATCTTTGCTTGCTGGATTTAAGGCCCATTGGGCTGTCTCTATCAGTTTTGCCTCCAAGTTCCACTGCACAGTCCTAAGCAGTCCCAGACAACCAGTAGCCCATTGCCAAGGTCACACTGCGTGACCTCCACATTGGACTCTGGCATGTTTTCAGGAATGGCCTTCCATCATGACCAGAAGTGGTCTTCAATGGGCTCTTTGACTATACACACGCTGCAGAGTGATTAGGGCTTTCATTGGAGGATCGCTGATTGGCAGTTCATCTTTGAATCAGAGAGCAACATGAGGGTAAGACCCGTAGCAAGGAGGGGTCAGGAGTCAGAGCAACAGTACAGAGAAGCAGAGAGGACCGGCTGGAAGGATCACACCAAGAATCACATCGATCACCCAGCTGCAGCATGCACAGCAGGCAGCCACATACCCAGACCTGGTCCAGCCACGGTACAGATTTGCACTTCAAAGAGAAGAGGGAAAGATGGGAGATTAATCTAGAATCAAATTCCAGGGGTTGGTGGTATGGGGCTTATGCAGACAGGCTTCTGTCCATCCGCCTCCCCCACCCCACCCCGCCCCACTTGGCAACGGCCTGATGGAGCAGAGCTACCTGCCTAGGGAATTCACACTGTCATCCCTCCTCTCGACACTCCGACATCACAGCAGTGTCTTTGCTAGGGCAAGCCTTCTTTTTTTAGTACGACATGGCCAAAGAGGGAAGGTGCGGAAGGGCAGGAGTCAGAGCCTGCTCGGCAGCCTGCGTCCATGTCCCTGGGATCTGCCCTTCATCCTCAGTAAGGGACCTGCCATAGGCCTCCCCTGCCCATCCAGCCTGTCATCCTGGTTCTGTTCTATTTTTGCTGGACAGACAACCCAGTAAAAATACCCTAGGCGGGTAGCTCTGCTCCATCAGGCCGTTGCCCACCTTCTCAGAGGGAGAACCAGAGGATTATGGCTTCTCCGAGCGGGTCACTGTTGGGAATAAATGGGGTGATTTAGGAATCCTCCGTGAACTGAGCGAGTGCCCAGCTAGCGAAGGTGAAATCCCCCAGTAGGCCTATGAGGGACTCCTTGGGGAGGGTCATGTGGAAATCCGTCTTTTTTTTTTTTTTTTTTTTT